CCTTGTGAAAAACATTACTTCCCCTTGCCCTCTTGTCATGCAAACATCACTTTCTGTTGAGCCTAAACCCCCCTCCCGGTAGCTCCTGCCTTTTGGTCCCAGTCCTTGCCCTTCTGACCACACAAACAAGACTAATTCCTCTTCACAGCCACCTTCTGGACAGTTGACTCAGTTCTTCTGACCACTCTTAGAGAGTTCCTCCCTTGCTCAGATAATAATCCCACCCCTGGAACATTCCCAAGAGGATACAGCTTTGCATCTCTTCACCCTCATGCCTTTTTTTCTCTGGTCACTCCTTATTTATTTTACTGTGGTAGGAACCTTTAACATGAGATGTAACCTTTTAATTTTTTTCCCTTTTAATTTTTTTTTAAGATTTATTTATGCATACAGAACTAGGGTACAAGCCAGAGGTGCAGGGGTAGTGAGAGGCTTCACCAGAGACAGAGTGGGGAGCAGAACAGGCAGATCTACAAAGTACACTGCTGAGGGGAGCAGTGGGCGGGTCAGGAGAGGTCTGCCACGCCATGTGGTCACCTCCAGGGCAGGCGGGAATCGAACTCATGCGGAAGTGGCTTCAGCTTCTCATTGCAGTGCTTTAACCCGCTGCGCCACCAGGGAGGGCCCCCCCTTTTAATTTTTTAAGTGAATACTATTCAGTATTCTGAACTATAAAGACAATATAGAACTTATTTGTATAATTGAGATTTCATGCCCATTAATACGCAACCCCTGAGCTCCCTCTCTCCCCAACCTCTGGCAATTGCAATTCTACTATATGAATTTGACTAGTTTACATACCTCACACAAGTGGAATCATGCAGTATTTGTCCTTCTGTGACTGATTCTTCATCTTTATCTTCAAGGCTCAAACATGTTGTTGCATATAGCAGGATTTCCTTTTTTATTTTCCTTAAGGCTGAATAATGTCCAATGGGTGTCCTATTATATCCTTTTGAAAATGTGGATTCTCAAACTTTGCGCCGAGTTTTGGGTTCCTCCGATCTGTGCACAGAAACATGAGCTTATCCTCTCTTCTACAGTCTTTCCTTATGCTCTCCTGCTGACTTTCCTGTCCATTCCTTTCTGGGCTCATACACCTTGGGGAGGGTATTACAATTTCCCAAATGAGTCTCATTTTACCATGTTTAGTCTGGCTAGTCTTTCTGAAAGCAGCTGGCAGCCTGGCTTCTTATCTTGGCATTTCCTATCCTGGTATTTTGCAGCCATCCCAGGCTGGGTAGTTTCACCACAGTTCTAACCATTTGAAAGAGAACGCTGGAGACCTTGGCGTCATCTTCACAGGCTTTAACAGCGCAGGGAAAGCAGCAGGAAGTCGGCCGCTTGAACTCCTCCAGGGAAACACCGCCCTTTTATCCCCGCCTTCCTAGGCACAGGTGTGCACACTTGCGCACGCGCACACACCCCTGCTCCAGGTGGCCACCATCAGGCACTTGTGCCCCACATCCATGCGCCTTCTGCGTTAACACCATCAAGGTCACAGGTGAGAGCCACAGAGGCTAAGTGGCATAAGAAGCTTGATAACTCACTTACCCTACAACTGGGTAGATATGCGAGCCTGATTACTAAATCTGCATCGAAGGCACCCACTAAATGAGCAGAAGTGTGTTCTGCAGCGGGCCTCCACAGATGCTTTGTAGGCCATGGTACACAACATCTAGCCCCAGGTACACTGTGTAGGAATCATCTGGGATATATATACACACATACATGTGTATATATGTGTACATATATGTATGTGTATGCATATATACACCTACACACACATATTTAATTCAGATTGCCGTTAACTCAGTAATACAGAATCAGAATTGAGAGAAATGGGGTCCAGGAACCTGTGTTTTTCATGTACATGCCAGATGCTATCACTATGCAGCCAGGTTTGGGAACCATCAGCTTTAGACACTGAGTTCAAAATCCCAAAAACAAACTCCACTATGATTTGGTCCATAGCTGACATCTAAGACAACCAGAATGATGGGCTAGGGTGGAGTGGGTACAACCCTCTCCTTTCAGTGTGCCCACACCACACACTTATCTGGGCAAGTGTGACATCATTGCAGGGCTTGTTTAAGGTTCTACCCCTGTCTGCTTGTGTCTTTCTGGTTCTTTGTGTCTTGGTTTCCAAGATCAGTTACAAGTTCTGGATTTTGGCACTAGGGTTGACCTTCTTTGTCCCCACCCAGTTGATCAGTCTTGATTTCCAACAGGCTCTCTGTAGACAGCCTTGATTTGGCATCTCCCAAAGCTTCTAACAAGAGACTCCTCTTCTAGTCCCACTATATTGAAATAAGCAACTCTCAGAATACAAACAGTTTTCATTTAATAAATGGTCCCAAAGAAGCTACCTTCTCCAGAATTGGACCCTACTTTTTCAGATACGCATCGTATTCCTATTTTATTCTTATGTTGTCTATATTGCCAAATACTTGATGTCCTGGGGATGGTCCACAGTAGGTGCTTGATAAATTGTTCTCTGTGATAGCACAATGCTTTAACTGACTGGCCTCAGGTCATCAACCTTTACAGGCTACAGATAGCTCAAGTGAAATGCAGTAGTGTGGGCTTGGTGTCTGAGGATACCTTTAGTTTTCATGCTCCATGATCCTTTGTAAATCACAGACTTCCCTTGCTGGCTAGGATTCTATTTCCAGTACTCACAAAGCAGTTCTTTGCCTCAAGTCACACTGTTCAAATCAAACTGGAATTCTCTTCTGTTGGCACGTAGCAGGGTATGTCAGACCCTCCCTGAGCATAATCACTGCAAGGCACCCTCCACCCCCATTCATTAGCAGGTCCTGTCGCTTTATTCGACAAGCACCCCACCACTCACGTAAGTAATCACTCTGGCTTCTGCCCATGAATTCCTTTCATCCACTTTTGTTTATCACTGTTGAAGCATTTTTTAATCAAAACAATTAAATATGCTAAATCTTCTTCAATTAGTGATGCATTAAAAATGACAAGTGCTTGAACAGAAGTGTCAGAAGCAGCCTTGCTCATGGCTGAGCACAGTGCTTGGAGTATCCTGTCTGAGCTCAGGTCTCCTCCAGATACCTGCATGGTCACAGGGTGCCGGGCTGGGGACCTGGGAAGTGAGCAAGTCCAACATCTTCTCTCCTTAAGTGGGACACTGAACCCAGTGGTATCACTGGCCTTCTTTAAGCCCATCCTGGGTATCCGTGACTGGGATTTGCTGTGTTTTGTCTTACTTTCCTTTAACACAAGATTTGTCTATATGTACAGCGTACTCCATGATGACTTGATACACATCCACCACGTGAGATAATTATTACAGTCAACTAATTCACAGATCTTTTCTTCAGAGTTACCATTTATCTTTTTTGTGATGAGCACCAAAATTTACTCTCTATAAAATTCCATATTTAATACAATATCACTAACTAGTCATCAGAGTGTACATTATATCTCTATGCTTATCTATCTTACAAAATTGCTTCTTTGCTCCCTTTGACCAGCCTTAACCCATTTCCCTACTTCTCTTCTGCATACCTGATATTACAAGTGAATATGTAGATTTTTATGTGTGGCTGGCTTGCTGCACTTAGCATAATGTTTTTCAATTTTATCCATGCCATGGCAATTGACTGAATAACATTTACTCTCTCTATATAAGTATCTGCATCCACATCCACATGTACATATTTGCATGCATGTGTGTGTATCTTCTTTTCCTTATTGATCCATCCAAGGGACTGAGACTTGAATTCAGGATTCCTGACTTCTGAGATTCTTTCCTTCAGAAGCCTTTACCAAGGGACTCAAAACATTCATTTATGCACTCATTTTTTCCATTCATCAATCCTTTACTCTGAAAATAATATGGAATTCCATTTCTGGGATAATCACCGTACTGCTATACTGATAAGAGAGAGTAAATTAGAGACAAATCCTTGACCTCATAGAGTTTGCAATTTAATGAGGATGTAGGCAAGCAATTTTTGTTGCTCAATACTCCCTTGAAATTATTGAATCTAATCCATAGTGCAGTGGCCAAGAGGTATAAATTGTTTTCCTTTTTGATGATGCTGGAATCAGATAATGCTTGCTGGTAATTGTCCCTTAGAATTCAAAGTAATTATATTTTGAAAATACAGACTTCAGTTTACAACTTTCAGGAGTCCTTATCTACAGGTGAAGTTAACTCTGCAGCATGCTCACTATCTTGTTCCAGTCTTCATTCCTGCCTCATCTTGCTAGACAAAACAAGGGCTGAAACTTGTTTCAGACAAGGACTATAGGATTAAGAAAAAAATTACTTTATGGCTTTGAGAATTGTGTTCCTCATCATCCAAATGCACATTCCTCAGTGGGTCCTCAGCTGTAGGTGGACAAACAGCTGGTGTGGGTCAGACAGTCCTCATGATGTCAGAAAGCAGACTCCAAAGGGAAACCCTTTCATCTTCTAATACCACTCTGGCCTCTTTGAGGGGCAAAGAGTACCCCAAAGATAAGTACAGTTATTGGGGACAAACAGAACTCACTGGCAGCTCTGAAAAGAGAGAGAAGTGTTCATATCCAGAAGTGCTTCATGGAGTAAATGCCATTTGAATTGGAGTTATAGTGGACTTTGGAAACACAGTCCCAATGGAGAAAGGAAAAGCATCTACACCGAGGAACAGGAGGTGTGTGCCAAACTGCAGAGTGAAAATGGTGCTCAGCATGGCTCAGGCACTGTGCTAGGCACAATGGAATATGGAGATGGATAAGATGGAATCAATGTCTAAAGGACGTTCACTGGAGAGCATGTGGAGGAAAGACTACTGGCATTGATGAGCAAGTAGTATGTGCAATTCCTTCTCACTTCAAGAATTATGTGGGAACCATAAAGAAGAAAACACTGAAAATGACTTTAAAAAACTATGATGTTGATTGAGATCTCTTAGACTCCCAAGACTACTGTGAATACTATATTTTAGTATCTCATCATTTTCTTTTTCCCACTCTCCCCACTGTAGATATTACTGGTGAAGACATCAAGAGCTGTTTTGGAGGTCATGTGGGCCTTACCTTTGCCAAACATAATGTAGAAATTGGAGGAAAGTTATCAGGGAAAACCTGTGAATCGTTTGGAGATGGCAATGTTTATGGCAAGTATTTGGTAATGGGTCACCCTAAAAGAAAAGCCTGACTTCTATGCAGGGCACAGAAGTGCCCTGTATGGGACATACACACTATTTTCCCTGACTTGGTTCCATTTCAGTTAATGGTGATGCTGTATAATTGCTAAATACCCCAGAACAATGCCCAGTAAAGACTCAATTTTGACTCCATCTTGGGCTAATATCACCTTAGAAATATTTGACTTTGTATGGTGCAAACCCTTAGATTTTAAGCAATACATAAAGGTCTAAGTAAGAACTGGGATGAAAGGAATGTGTAGACAGAACCTGGAAAGCCAACTTTGGGGATGAAGGCCTATCATGTGACAGTACCAAGGGAAGACACAAGCCTGCTGAGAGAGCTGAGCAAGGTTATCAAGTCCAAGCTTAAAGAATAATTACAAAAGAAAAATTGTATGAGAATATTTTATGGCATTTCCTGAGCAAGTCAATATGAATATTCATGTATTCACCCATTCATTCATTCATTCACTCGACAAGTATGGAGAAATCTTTTTTTAGAGGGAGATATAAAAGACACAGGGATGAGAAAACAGTTTATAGTACAATGGAGAAAGTGGATATGAAACAGGTTCAAGTTATTCTGATTGCATTAGGCTACTCCGCATAATGGTCTTACATCAAATTGCATCTCTCTGGTACTCTGCCCTCCTCTCTTCATATGCCTGCAAACCAATTGATCTTCCTAGTCAAGTCACCTTTCTCCCTGACCACTCCTACCCCTTCTAAAAATTTGACCACATCTTTCTCCATGCCCTTACTGAGCCCTGAAGAGACAGGTGCCATTGCACCATTGCATTTCATTCAGCCTATTTGGCATATAAAGGGTACTGAGTAAATACTGAACACATGAATGAATGAATGAAACATAAATTTCCCCAACCTTTCCATCCTTCCTGTTGTCCCCCCAGTGTCTGACCTTCTCAGAGGATGGGTCTCTCCTGCTCCTTCCTGTTAGGAAGGACCAACCAGGCAGAGTGAGAGACAGCTCTAAGGAGAGCACATGGACTCTGTTCCAAAGCTCATTAATGGCACTTGCCAACCCATTCTGTGACTTTTGGGGAAATGAGTTAATGCTTTTATCCTCTTGGCAGAATCAAAGAGGAACAATACCGTTGTGGAAGACATCATCTCCCGGGTGAAAGGTGGCAATGTTGACTGGGGTGGTGGCTTGATGCAGAACAGCAGCATCATCACATATCGTTCCTGGGGGAGGTCATTAAAGTATAATCCTGCTGTTATTGATTTTGAGGTAAGTCTTTTTGCAGTTGAAGAAACTCTACGTCCACAAGGAATGAAAGTGAAGCAGACCAGATCATTTCATATTTTTTATTATGAGACCATCAGAGAACAAGATTAAATGTAACGGCACACTGAACTGGTGGCCTTCTCCATGCCTCACGCCAGGGGAGCACACCTCTAAACCCAGGTCACAAGAACACAAGGATCAGAAGCTTATTTTCTGGCCCATGCCTGGTTTTATACTACAGTTGCCATAATTATAGTAGTGGGTCTAGTCCCTATCAGCATGTATGCATAAGAAGATTTTAAGAATCACATCTGTTCATTTAGGGACTGGCAAGCTTTTTGGGCAAAGGTCCAGGTAAGAAGTGTTTCAAGCTTTGTGTGAGACTATAGTCCCTTTCATGTACGTTCTTTCCTGTCTCCATCCCCACAGTCATCTTCCTCCTCCTTTTTCTATTATTATTATTTTTTAACAAAGAAATGTCTATAGGGTTGAAATTGAGAATGCTGTCTTAAATCCCTACTTGAACAAAGGGAGTAAAATTGTTTTTATGTCACAAAGGAAGTTGACTGCCTACAAGCTGTCAAACCATGGTGATTAATAGATAGGATAGGCCATAAACAAAGGTTATAGTTGGGGCTATTGAAGAAAATCTTATTGTTTTTATGCCCATTTTTCTCTGACTCTTGCTGATTTTTCTACATCTATTTAAAATTCTAGGTTACACACTTCCTCTGAAAATATGTACCAGTAGTGAAGCCCCAAAGACTATGGTAACACACTGTTCTTCATGAACAAAGAGATCAGATGAATTAACCTTGATGTTCATACACCTGTAATTCATAGAGGGTCTGAAAGTCACTGTCATAGTAATCAGTGATTTGGGATAAACCTATAAAACTGATATCAAGAACAATAGATAAATTTTCATGGACAGTAGATGAACTTTGTGTTTGTTTTAAGCAACACTTCCTAGGGGAAGGCTGGGGAACATGATTTTGAGAAGATGAAATATTATCTTTTGGGAGAAAGTACCTGGACTTTGGGGTGAAAAGATATAGTTTGATGCAAAAGGCTCACACACCTTTTATGTGTGACCTTGAATAAGTTGATTTTCTGAACCAGTTTCCTGGCCTATAACATGAGGAAAATAAAATGTTACATCATACATTTGGGGAGAGAAAAGTGGAGGTACTGTAAAGGTCAGCTAGGGGACCTGCTTCAGGAAGGTTAAGTAACCTGGGCTGTCTCACAGCTGGTACAGGGCAGGGCCCTGAATGATCTATGTCAGACTCACCCAACACCCACAATCTTGTTAGAATCCATGTTCCCCAAAAAAGTTAGGATTCTGTGCATAAATCCTCTGACATTTTGAGAGAAGGGAAGTGACACAGCCAGAGTTGTACTTTAAAAAGAGAATGTCACAAAGATATGAAGGGTGAATCAAAGGGGAGACAGACAGACAGACAGACAGACACTATGGACAAGGAGGCCAGTTGCAAATTTATTAGGAGCCTGGTGTTACAATGGCAACAGTGTCTTAGTCACCTGCATACTCTAGAGCTTAGAGGTGCTAACTTATCACAGCTACTAAGAGGGAGTGAATGTAGAAATCACAGGAATTCTGTTCTGATGCTGTGCTGTGTTGTGTGCTGCTGTGTGTTGGACATCACAATCTGTGGCTATACCACACCATTTGTCTTCCCTGAATCTGTTTTCTCCTCTATAAAGTAGAACAAGACTATTGCCAATATCTTCTGAAGCTCTAACATTCTAAGATGCTTTTCCTCCACCACCCACTTCTCCTTCCACTCCTCACCATCCCTTCCCAAGGTGTTTCTCTTTCCTCTTCATGAGGGCCCTCGCAGGGAAAAAGAAATGAGGAATGAGTACTTTGCCCAATTGAAAGGTCAAAGGAAAGTTGCCCAATGGTCCTGGCCTCCCCTGGAACTAAAATCCATCTTTTGCCAGGGCCAAGCACAATCTATTCAGCACTGACTTCCTAACAATGAGGGTGAGGCCACATTCCCTGAATTTCCAGTAAGTAAATGGTCTTCTCCCCTTGGCTGGGGGCCTGACCAGTCCTGACACGACCAAGTTGGTGACCTCAGCTGCAGCCTCTGACACAGACCAAGGTCTGTTTGCCACCAGTCTTTCTGTACACATTTCCAGGAACCCATGCAACGGGCTGGTGATCACCTCTATTGACTTTAGATTCAAACAGTGAGATTGCACCACTGTGTCCCTTGGTCCTGTCTTCAGGGTCCTGTGACCCTGGCCCATCACTCCCCTCTCAGGGCCTTGGCTAACTCTCCTGCAGAATAAGGCATTTGGAGCAGAGCTTTCAGTGATTGTGCAAAGATGGACTGCATTAGAGCATGTGTGAGCATAGGCCCATGCATTTGAATAAGTTAGGATCTTTTTTTTTTTTAACCGATTATCATACCTAATGAATTAAAAAGTTTTTAATTTTGTGGTATTCTTCTCATACTCACTGATTTCCTTAGAGTCACATAAGAATTCCAGAAAGCAGGTTGGGACTCCTATTTTGTAGATAATAAGGTCCAGATTTAGAGTGGGACAGTTAAGAGCTCTCGGACACAGCTGGGAGACAGCAGCATTTACTTAACTCTTACTATGTGGCAGGTCTTTCCCCTCCATCAACTTTAATACTCACAATAATCCCGAAGGGTGGCACTGTTGTTCTCACTTTACAGAGCAGAGGGATGGCTCCCCGTGCAAAGTGAGGCCACATGGTTAGAGTTAGTAAAGCAGGGATTTGAAGGCAGAATCTCAGACTCCAGCTTCAAGGCTCTCCACTGCACTTGCTAACTCCAGCTGGCGGTATCTTCCCACCAAGCATCCCCCAAGGGACAATACCAGGAGACAGTTTTGACAATACCAGGAGACAGTTTTGGTCCTTCAGGCTAGAAGGTACCACTGGTGTTTAGTGGGGAGTGAGATGCTATTTAACATCCTACAATGCACAGGACATCCAGCCTTGCCCACAAAGAATTATGCACCTGGAATGGTTGAGAAGGCCCAGACTCCAGCCCTACTTGGAGTGACTGCTTCAAATGCAAAGTGCCACCTACACCCCTGACCACCTCCCCAGGACCACCCCCCCCCCACAAAACTTCACTGCCTATCCAAAACTTTATTAATTCCTGTGTAAAAGGCTTGACAAAAAGATGCATACACACGAACACATGTATACAGATTGTACGTTCCCTATCTCCTAAAACTGCTAAAGAAGGCAGATGTGGGCACAGATGATTCCTGAGCTCTCATCTTCCTCTAGGCTTGGGAGGTCAGAAGTTTCAGTTAGGTAGGTCCACACTCTGAGTGTCTCTTGCCCGTGACGATGTGACCCTGTGCTGGTGACTCTGAGCTGGTGACTCAAGGGCAGGCAGGGGAGGTTAGCACCGGCCTCGCTGAGTGGCTTTGAGGATCCAGGGAAGGGGAGATAGCTGGATGTCCGGGGTCTGTGCCTGGCACACAGCAGGTCTTCCAGAAGCTAGACTGCCAGTTCTAGGGACTTCCCTGGGAAGCTGAGATCCCCAGACCCACAGGGAGGACCCTCTGGTCTGCCTGTGCCCACAGGTGCAGCCCATTCACGAGATCCTGCGGCGCACGAGCCTGGGGCCCTTGGAGGCCAAACGCCGGAACCTACGCCAGGCCTTGGACCAGTACCTGATGGAGTTCAATGCTTGCCGCTGCGGGCCCTGCTTCAACAATGGGGAACCCATTCTCGAAGGCACTAGCTGCAGGTGTCAGTGCCCCCTGGGTCGCAGGGGGCAAGCCTGTGAGCGAATGGAGCAGCCAGGTAAGGCCCATGTGTCCTCCTTGTGTGCAAGTCTGGCCAATACAGCAAGGGCCTTTGGGACCTCACTTCTCCTTTCTGTGCCCTCCTGCCCACTGCCCAAGAACCCACTGGCTGAGGGTTATGGCTGACCCTCTATACTTAAAGTTTCTGCTGCTTTCTCAATGGTGTCGACACCATTTCAGATGAGAACTGGTTATATCTTGTTGTTTTTTCTTCTCTAAGGTATATCTAGACAATGGGGGTCTTTCTGAAGGGACCTAGTAATTTCCAAGATGGTCATAGTAATTGCCACAAGCTGTAAGAAATGTAATGGCCATTTGTTGCCTGACACTATGGAAGTTAGAAGCCCGACATTCAGGTATATGAACCAGATAGTTTCTTCTGGGTGCTCTGAGAGACTCTGTTCTATGCCTCCACCCTGGGTTCTGGTGTTAGCTGGCAGTCCCAGCATTTCTTGGCTTACACACCATTCCAGTTTCTCTACTCTACATGTTTCTTTTCTTATAAGATCTCTAGTCACTAGGTTAATCCAGCATGATCTCATTTTAACTTGATCTAAAAAAAAAGACCTTGTTCCAAATAAGGTCACATTCACGAGTAATGGAGGTTTGGATCTGATTCTATTTTTTTGGGCAGGCACAATTCACCTATTACAGGGATGTATAAGTTGTCATTCTAGTGCAACAAATTATGATTAAAAACAAGTTTGGGGTGGGTAAGCTTTAAACATCTATAGATGTGATGTGAACCAGCTGGCCTTAGGGAGGAAGCTTCTCATACTGGGTTAGAAATCCTTCAAAGATGAAGAAGTCTAGAGACATGGATGGTCAATCCCAGCTCTGCTGATTTACTGTGAGACATTTGTCTTCTGGGGCTCATCTTTCTCATCAAAGTTTCCTTTGTACTCCAGGAACTTCTATGCATACCTTATCACTAAGCTTCCAGTTTTCTATGCATACAAATTTCAGAATGATGGCAAGAATGATAGTCGATCAAATCAACGTATAAATCCATCTCAAAGGCAACTACAATGAAGGACTTTTTTTAAAGGACGCCTGGATGGGGTTATCTAAGGGACTAGACTGAGTTTGGGAAACAACTGGGGTGGCAGCCACGAGGCTCAGCAGCTATATGTTCAAAATAGATCATGTGTTTAGTCCCAGTTCACTCAATGGGTATCGACAGCATAGCATAGATGCCCCCCAAAGTGAACGGCTAGGTTACTACAGGAAAGAATGCAGAACAGGATTCTTCTCTGACACATCAGGAGACTATGTTCTAGGTGCCACAACTCAGTAGGCCTTGGAAATGCAAAGTGGACAAATGAGGAGACAGGAAAGACTCAACTACTAAGAAGAAAAGCTGACAACTTTTGGTACAGAGACAAGAGAGGAACCAGTCCCAACTGAAATGCCACATGGGGAAGGTTGAGACTACCGAGATTAGGTTGTAGGACTAGAGGAGAGAAGCTCTATCTGGCAAAAGGATGTTGGCTTAGGGAAGAAGGACTTGCTGTGTGGTGAGAGGTGGAGGGGGATAGATGCTCACGAATCAGGAAGTTATCTGAGAGATGCAATTATCCTATGGTGCTGGGTTAGATGCCCTCAAGGTCCCTTCTACTCTAAGGGTCTCTGAATCTGCCCAAGACAGGCTGACCACACGGCTTTGGTAACTTTAAGCTCAAAACATTTAAATTCAGTTTAGCTTGGAAAAAACCATAGCTACCAGTTATATTTAGAATTCAAGGGAGATATCCACCCAGCAGGCCTGGATTTTAAGGGACATGATGATGTGGGGGAGGGAGGCGAGTTAAAACTTTCTCATTGGGAGAAGAGCTCTAAATGGGAAGCATCGCTCTGCTGTCAGTGAGGCTGGTGAACTCCAAGGCTGCCAGTTTTCACCTGGGCTTCCCTTGTAATGAGAGGCTACTATCACTACTCACAGGTGGTGAACTAGTTTCCACATGGGTGGGCTCTATAACAACACACAAGAGGAAGAGGTGGTTTCAGTAGTAGAGGGATTTGTCTCTGGTTGTCACTTTTCAAAATCCTTCCTCTGCTAGCTAAAGGGAGTTACATTTTGGGTCCCTAGTACCTTGTAGAAGGAATTTTGAGAGGGGTGAGTCCCTTTGAAGTATGGTACATAGAATAAAGCCAAGGAGACCAATTACCAGGGCCAAACCTGGTACAGTGTCCTCAGGTGAATTGGGAAAAGGTACTTCCTGACAAGTGGGTGAATTGGGAGAACAAAGAAAACCACTTGAGGTTGATAGTATCCAAATTCTATGGATCAGAAATATCTTGGCTTCCCAAGCAGAGTGTGGACTGGGTTCCAATTCCCTGTTGCCTCACTGGCAAAAACAGATTTCACTAGGGACCAAAGGTCAATGCACAGAAGGGATCCTTACTCTGTGCCAGACACTGGCTTAGAACTTCTTGTAGATGAACGCACTTATACCCCAGGAGGTTTTAAAATAAATACTGCTGTAAGCCCCAAATTACAGATGAGAAACTGGGGCAGGAGACAGGTGAAAGGCTGCTCAAAGTCACCTAGCTGGGGAATGCCCCCATCCGTATTTAGGTCTAGCATCTGAAGTAGACCCTGAGCTCTTAGCTGTTACAGCTTGCTGGTTTACATGGGAAGAATCAGGTAATTTGAGGAACGAGAGCAGCAGGTCTGAGGTGGGTGCAGTGATGGCTATTTAGGGGAGAGGGTTATGTCCTAGTTCACAGCTTTCAATCTGACTTTAAAGGAAGAGGTGGGAAGCCCTGCCTGGTGATTAATCTTAGCAATACAAGAGCCCTCAGAACTAGTCAGTTACTTGATCTCTGTCCACACAGCAGAGAGACAGAGAAGAGGGAGGGTGGACTACTTAGACATGTCTCGTCAGTGGTCCCTGCAGGGTTCAGAGGCCATGATGAGTCATGTGTACATGTGGTGGGCCCTAAGGAGGGCACATGATGCCAGTGACCTGGAGGGGGGTGGTGGCAGGTGCAGAGGGTTGGGCCTTCCCCTCCCAGCCCTGCTCCTTCTGCAGGATGACTCTCCATTGGTTGCATCGGCTCATGGATGTCCCATGAAATGGGTTTCAAGGGTGTGTGTGTGTGTGGACAATAGGTGTCCTTGGGGCCACTAGGTTGAACTTTCAGCTTGACAGATGGATCTGGCAAGGGTATCTAAGGCTGGGGAGTTAGTCAGTCACCATGGAGACCACTGATGTGGGTCCCCTGGGATTTTCCCAGCAAGCTTTTGCCTATAGGGACCAAGTCACAGAGGGCAGAAATGGAGACAGAGAGCCCTGCTGTGGCTGCCACACCAGGGGGTATAATTACAGAGCTGGAAGGAACCCGGAGATAATCTAATCCCATGATACTCACACTGGGATCTGAGGAAACTTGGGGTCTTAAGGGTGCCCCAGGCAAGGAAGGGGAGTGTGATAGACAACCCAGCTTCAAATAGAACTGCTCCACTTTCATTTGACATCCATGTTGGGGCCCATGTCAGATTTCATTTAGGAATAAAAATAGTAATGAAAAAAATAATGATGGCAAAACCTCACAGGTTTAGTCCATTCTTCCATTTTATAAAGGTGAATCCTCAGGCTGAGAGAGAGAATGGTCTTACCCAAAGTCAGTAGGAAGCAGAAGCCACAGGACAGAGGGATTGTAGGAGCTGGATTTCCAGGGACAGTCCGTGGTGGTGGTGGTGTGTTCTGATGCTCTGTACAAAGAATCTGTCACACATATGTCTCTGTCGCCAGGACTCCGAGGGTGTGACTAGTCACCCCTTATTTCAAAGGCTGGCAGTGCTCTCCAGAGGGGTATCTGGCTGGCCTTTGTCTCTGAATCCCCAGCTGCGCTGTGCTTCCTGCCCATCACACTCTCCAGCAGCTCTGTGTTGTTCTTCCAGAGGAGCACGCCCGCCTGCCCTACTCCGCTATCCATCTTCCATGGAACTGCGGATTCCAATTTCATCAGATGGGCTCCCAGCGGCCTCTTCCCACTCCATTCAGAGTTTTAAATTAAGAGTGAGGTGGCAAGTAAAGCCGTCTTGGTTGGCTACACCAAAGCATTTCCCTAAGGAGAGGTGGCAGACCCTGCCAGGTCTGAGGGTTGTCCTCCCTCCTTGCTGCCTGGGCTGCTGCTTGCATGGTAACCTCCTCCCCGCTATGTTATCTGCGCAGGGGTCAAGGCAAATGGTCGCTGGAGCTGCTGGAGCGCCTGGTCTCCTTGCAGAGCAGGCACCCAAGAAAGGAAGAGAGAATGCAACAACCCGGCACCCAAGAATGGAGGGGCCTCATGCCCAGGGTGGAAAGTGCAGAGCCAGGCTTGCTGAGTGGCTCTGGGCACAGGCTGGACAGATGTAGCAGATGTCACCACCTGTACTGATCACTGGAGAAAGACTGATGTTGCTCTAACACACCCAACTCAGCAAAGCTGTCACTTAACATCTGGATGTGGAGTGTTCACGGGAGACTTGTCTCTGCTCACAGCATTTTGGATCATTAAAAAAGATAGAAAGAAAATTAATCCTTAATCCTGTTTTATAGGACTTACAGGATGTTAGAGGGACAAAGAAGGCAGATGCTCTAAAAAGAATCAATGGCCAATAAAAGTATGAGAATTAATTCAGCTCTTGGATAATAATATTTGTTCATTCATAGAACCATTATGAACTGGTAGGATAAGCATACACATGGAATAAGGAGAGAAAAAAATAAAAATTGACTTGAGTTCATTCAATTTTCCTTCATTTCGACTTAACATTTTCTTGTATTCCTTCAGTTAATCTCTCATTTAAGTTCTCAGCACCAATATCATATTCTCTCAATTAGGATCTCATGGTAATACACTAATCTTTTTCCTGATTATGTGTTTCATGTTTGTAATTATATTTTGGGTCCCCTATCTCTTGTGATTATTTATGACCTGTTTTCCTATAGAGAGTAATCATGAGAGCAAGTATCAGCTTTACTTATTCAGCACTGTATGCCTTGAGCACCCCCAACCCAGCCCCCAAAGACAACGCCTTCAATAGGAAGAGACCTAAAAACAACGGTGGATTAAGTGAGGGTCTGAATTCAAGAGCTCAAAGGTGTGGTCCATTTGGTCAGCCCCCCAGTATGGAGCATGGCATTGGAGGGGTTAACCAGTGATGTTCAGTATACCTGACCCACCTGTGGGGCAGCCCACACACCTGCCCACCTGGTATTCCTACAGCACCCCAGTCACAGCTCTAAATTCAGTTGCACTGAATTTTCTGCTCACTTTTTCTTCTATAACTGATAAGCTCCTTTTAGGCTGAATCTGCACCCCCAGTGTATCATGGGTATAAGTGCCTGTTAACCACCATATATAGTGGTGCTCTCTAACCTTCTAGAATCCTCAGTCTTTTTAGAGAAACTGTAAGACTTGTATGCTCATGAAACACTTAGAAGGAAGTTTATGAGCAAAGGAAATTAATTGCTGAGTTAGTGATAAAATGTATGGCACACAAAATAAGTGCTGAAGGCATCGTACCCAGGTCTTGAAGGGTTGTTGAACTAGGCAAGGAGAGCGTCAAGGTAGAAATTCAGCATGTAGCAAGGTTTGAAGGCGAGAAAGAGTATCAGGAAGGAATATGTGTAGGTGTATATGTACTGGGGATGGGTACTGGGGAAGAAAGTGTATCCATCACATATAAAATTATTTTGGTTTTGAATATTGACATTATTGTTATTACTGATAATTAAAGCTTAGAGTTTAGAAATTTATTTCTGAACTCTCTAGATCTTGTACCTGAAAGAAAAAAAAAAAAACTCCTTTATGGCTTCTTACCATGTCTTTACATTTTACTTTGAAGTGGACGTGCATTGATAATGAATTTCCATTCATTATTTTCTGGGGAGTGGTAGTTACATGCTAGAAAGTGTAGCTAGGCCAGATTGGCCAGACCAAGTGGGCCATTTACAGAGGACATTCAAACTTGATCGAAAAGCCATACTTTCGAGCCTCGGTTGCACATTAGAATCACCTGGGGAGTTTTCAAAACCCTGATGTCCAACGACTGTGTGTCAAACCGATTATCTTCGAGCCTGTGGGGTGGGGACCAGATATCAGTAGCTTTAAAAGCTCCCAGGCTAATCCAGTGCCATCATGGCTGAGAACCCTTCAGAATCTGGGCATCCTTCCATCACATGGGGGTGCCGTACGTGACTAAACAAGAGGGACACCAGAAGGGACTCTCTTTGCTCCTGTAGCTACTAAAACAAGGCTCTCTGAAGACTTGGACTTGAGTCCCAATTCACAGTTAAGGAAACTGAGTCTCAGTGAGCCCGTGGGTTGCAGGACTGGTGAGTGCATCCAGCACAGCTCCCCTGCCTTTGCTCCACAAAAATCAGGCTGCCCTGCCAGGCGGGCACTGGGAAGAAGCCCGGGGCCAGGGAGAGGCAGAAACCAGAGATGAACTCATGCCTCTGAAGGCAAGTCCAGGGAGGTGGGGTGGAGCAGTTACCTGGATCACCTGTGAGCCAGGACCAGCCGCTGAAGGCACAGTGCCACCTTCCTGTCACCCAAGTGGCGCCAAGGCCAGGGTCTGCCCCACTTCTCTGAAAATACCGCATCCCCAGCAGTTTTAGAAATGAAAACATAGCCTCCGCGGCAGCTTCACAGCAGCCTCTGCTTCCAGAATGGCTGGCTTCCACAAAGCAAAAGGCATAAAGCTATCAAATGCACTCTCCCTCAGGTCCTTTAAGCAGATCTATAATCTACGGTTTTATAGGTAGTGGATGTAAAAACATGGTTTAAAGATATAATCTTCAGCTTGACAAGGTGTCTTTTGAAAAGTAAATTAATGACAGGATGAAAAGCAATAAGGAGAGGCTCTCTTTTTTCTTCCTCGAGATAGAGGAAGATCTAAAGAGTTCAGCACTCAATGAATCTCGTCTGAACTATATGCCTTTAGGGTGAAGAAAATGGACAGAGAGAAAGGGTAGGCTTCAAAAATCACATTGCAGAAATGAGAGATGGCAGAGTGAGGACAGGCACTGCCAGGAGCCCTCTCTGCCCACAGAGACAGCTCCCCTCCTGCTACCCCTTCATGGAAGCAAGGGGAGCACCCCCATGCACTCTGTGCCAGCACCCGAGCTGGGTGTGGTACAAAATGCAGCAGACATGACCCTGACCCTGCAAAAATACATACTCTGGGAAAGGCCTGTGGGCTGTGGCGGCAGGCTCATACCAGGGTGGGTAGGGAGGACAGCATGGAGGAGGGGGCCAGCAGAATCTCAGACCTGAGTGGAAGCTAGACAGGCAAAGAAAGGTGAAGATGGAAAATGCAAAGGAGTGGCACCCACACAGTCACCAAGCTGAGGAGCCATGGAGTGGGGTCTGGTTGCCCTTCTCAGCTGGGTGGACTGAGTCTGAGACCTTTGGTTTGGTGACTGGACCTTTCTTGAAGGCCGTCAGCCCTTGGCCATGTGGAGATTTCCACAGGTGGCCACTTCCCTGCTCGCCTCAGGTACCCCTGACAGTTTAGTACCCCACAGCCATTATTACGAAGCCCAAGTATTTTCAATGTGCTCATAAGGTTCTCAATGACCTGACCTCAATGCCCCACTCAACCTTCATTTCCCTCTTCTGATCTGTGGGCCCATGGTGCTGAAAATCTATTGTCCCCACCACAATGGACCAAGTCCTATATGACCAGCCACCAGCTATTTCTCTCTGACTCAATTTCCCCCCATGCGGCTCCAACCATTCAGGCATCTTTGCATTTCGCTCATTACAAATGCCATGCTGTCTTCTTTGAACATGCCATCCTCTCTGCCTGAAGTGCTCCTTGCCCCAAACAAATTTATACAAGACTCACTCCCTTATTTCATTTTAGTCTCTACTCAAATATTAACCCTATATTTTTTCTTGCATGGCACTACCACTCCCTGAGATTAAAGGTTTGTTTATTCTTTGTCCTATGTTGCCTCCCCCAAGTCATTTTTCAAGCTTTCTCATGGCTAGATCTCACACAACTAGAATATTTGGTTTTAGCAGGGGTTCAATAAATATTTAAAGAATGAACTAGTTCCCATTTAGCCTCCCAAGAGTTTGGGCTTGTTGTCTTCTCAAGCCTTTGTACATACATATTCCTCCAGAAGCAACCAGCTCACCAACTGCCACCTCGCTTAATTCTTCACCAGCTCTATCAGGGGTTGGTGAGATGTCCACTCACCCCACCAACCCGTGCTCAACCCACCCATTACCTCACACTTCATCAAGGGCTTCCCTCACATAGCTCTGTCTCCAGCATGTTCCGGATTCTGTCACTATAGCCTGCTCAGTTAGCTACCCAGCATATGACCTATTCCAAGGCAGGTGGGTCCTCATTCTGACCTTTGGAGCTGCAGCACCTGGCTTAGTCCAGGAAGGTCTCCCCTACTGTCAGAATAGATAACATTCCTATGTGGACTCTTGAGGTTTAGTAGGTTATTCGGGGGTGAGGGTATGGGGCGGGGGGTGGGATTTGAGAATATTATTACCATAAATTTGTACGGACATTTTTTTATATGACTATATTACCAAATAGGAAGGCTAACAGAGAAACTTGTAAGAGTTTTAGGATTATTTTTAAGCTCTATGGAAGTAGATATATTTATTTCTAATTAATTTACATTTATTATCAGAGTAATTTCCTGTTTCACACCTCCAAGAAGGCTAGATCTATAGCTTCATTGTTCCAGCACTCTAGTATTGAGACTTCATCTTTTTTTCTTGATGGGGTGGGAGGGAAACAATCTTGTCCACGAGTCCAGGAGTTGTGCATGTGTGCACACATGTATTTGTCAGGAATATTTTCAAAAGTGAAAAAAACACTCAAATAATAGACCACTTAAGTAAAATAGCAAGCTATTCACTTAGACTTGGCAATGTAACCAATTGTACATGAACCAAAATGGTGCACATTGCTAGTTCATTCTTTTTTTGAAATTATATATTTCCAGGTATATCATTAAAAATTAACATGTGAATGTGCTACATTCAGTTTACCATTAGAAGTACAATTCTGGCCCTCCCTGGTGGCACAACAGGTTAGGACGCAGCACTGCAAGCTGGAAGCAGCCACTTCAGTGCGAGTTCGATTCCAAGCCCTGGAGGTGACCCACAAGGCGCAGCAGACCTCTCCTGACCCGCCTGCTGCTCCCCTCAGCAGTGTACTTCATCCATCTGCATGTTTTTCTCCCCACTCTCTCTGGTGAATCCTCTCACTGCCCCTGCACCTCTGGCCTGTACCCCAGTTCTATATGCATAAATAAATAATTTTTAAAAAGTACAGTTCTATCCTTCCCCAGTAAGAGTGTTTTTTGGATTCT